TTATATTAGAATTAATCCAGAGTAAAAAAGCAGAACTAAAGACGATATTACTTGTTGGTGCTGAATAGCATTGTGAGAAGTATCTGGAGCAATTACATCAAGTATGCCGCAACTGCTCAGCATCAATCTGTAAAACAGAAGGAAAATCGCTAATCAAGTCTAAGGAACCCATATTAGTAATAATCAAAGAATATGTCAAAAAGACCTACTTCGTTTTGCTGAAGACAATGATTTTGGTAAGATCAATTGTACGCGCTGCCATCCCGCTCCCATGAATGGTTCTTAATGCAGAAGACAGCTGTACGACGTAAGTCCATAAAACAGATTCTTGAACTCCACTAGGAATCATAGTAGTTAACGGGCTCAATTTATTACCTTAAGCAAATAAGAAACATAAATATCGCGCGTCAAAACAGCTTCTCCTTCTGCAGAAGATACAACATTCAAGGAGAAGAAGTAAACAACATTGTACCTGTTGAAAAGTTGGCATTCAGTCCATTCAACTGACTGCCAAAATGCCTCGACCGTAAAGTTTCTGACATCGGATGATAATCGTAGACGAAAAGCAACGCTAAAAATGATAATGAGAATTCCAATAAGTAGCTAAAAACAAAAATTTTATTAACAGTTACTATCTGTTGCATTAACGACCGATGAAGTGGACTTCAGTAAAAAACACTCACATGTGTCACCAAACTGCCTCGTTATAATAACATCTCTTAATTGGACTACATTTACTTGTACTAACTTCTTCCAGTTATCAGCCAAGCTCGCTTGCTTTGGTTGTGTAAGACGTATATCTTAAAACCAACCAAGTATTCAAACTTAACTAAAAAGTAAAACTTCTGCCTTAAAATGATTACTGAAGAGGAAAAACTACAAACAGGTATCAATAACGATATTTTCAAAAATTTTTGAAAAAACGCTGACCAGTAGAAAAGCAAGTGAAAAAAGCATTATCAAGAAGAACGAAAGATGCTGCAAGAACTTACTGTGTATTCTTCTGATACAGTAAGGCATTCCGTCGCGGGCACTGATAGCTTTGTAAACAGTGGTCCCGTGGCTCCCGAAAATACCCTTGTCCAAAACGGTAGAAAAATGAATTTTTGGGTTCTCAAGAGGCACTAAATCATGATACTGTTCCACATTTTGAGGTAAGTCTGGATACGCAGATGCATCTGCGTGACTTGATATAGCTAGCTGCCGATTAATAAGTTCCTAAAAGCAAAGCAAAAAGAAAAAAGATACAAGAAGAGAAGGAAAACAGTCTAAAAAACTACTCACGTATCTCAGTTCTGGAACAGTAAAATACGTCGAGGCAGCCGGTCCTTTTGCTTTGAATCTGCCAACATTTGGCGGTGGCGCACGGTACATGAATCCTGCCATATTTTCCTGAAAATGAAAAAAGTGCCACTTAAAAAAAGAAAAAAAATTTTTTTTGAAGATATAAGAAGTAAAAAAATACAATTTGCACTCGATCTTCCTGTTGTTCCGGTCGTTGTTGTTCAACTACAGTGTTTTGACCGGGAGGAAAGAAATACGTTGTACCTCCAAAGTTTTCTTGCTAAAAAGCAAAACAAGACAAAAAAATTGAATTACACATTACAGGTTCTGCAGCTTAAATCGAACAACGTCGGAAACGAACCATATAAGTAGAGGCAGAATTCGTTTCTGCAGTTTGTACTACGTGTCCACTAGGTCGTAACGGATCATGTACAACCGGAGAAGACGTAAGAGCGTGAGAGCTGCTACTAGCTAAAACACAACAACAATATTAAGGAAATTAAAGATGCTGTCATCCTGATATCTCAAAAAATATACCGAAATTTGAAGGTCTCTGTGACGATGAAGCTATTGAGTACGGAGAAACCGGAACATCCTTGTCATCGACAAGGCTCATTTGTGCGAAAGACGGTACGAAACCTGGAACCTGAAAGAATAACATTTTTTGGCGTGTACTCGGAAATTGAAGGCAGTTAACACAACATAATGGCAAGAAAAATTCAACTGACATTAGATGTTGGCACTGGATTAGCTGCTGCAAGGCTATAAGGTGGATTTATAGCCTGGCCGTGTATAAGAGCTGCAAAAACCGATGATTATTAAAATCTTTAACTTATATTGCGAATATAAGGTATTTGAACGTAATGGTAAACTGAGGGAAAAAATAACCTGAAATCAAAAAAAAAAAAAATTGTCACATAAAACTGCCACTAAGAAAACCATTTACAAAACTAACGGGTATTCCACGTGCTCGGCCTTACAGATGATTGAGGAGCTCCGTGCAGGTATTGAGCTAGTCGGGAGCCAGCAGGAACTGTATTTGGACCATGGTCATAACCCGGAAACATATCATTGCCGCTCTGCATCCTGAAAGATTGAACGAATAAAACCCCAGAACCAGAAAAGCGCTTGAATTGAAAAGACAGCTATATACCGAAGTTGAAACCCCGCGACTAATATCACTTTTAATGCCGACTCTGTGCATAACACAAAGTATGGTAAATCTATTATTAAAATAATAAAAAAAGTAGAAACTTGACAAGATTTTAAATTCAGATATCTCAAGGCTTATTACCTTCTTACCGTCTCTTTTCTAGTGTCTCAGACCTTCGTTTTGTTAAAAATGATTATGCTAATTACTACAGATTTCGATTACTTCCGTTATGCGTTAGTTTTACGTTCCTATGCGTGAAAGATTTTGCTTCCCATGCAGTGATAAAATAAATAAATTAATTAAGAAACAGTAGTAATGAAGATTCTGATCAAAAAGGCTTTCTACAAAGGAAGGTAAGTACGAAGAAACTCGAGTTGTAAAAACCAAATCCCGTACAGACTTCAACTACTGTTCGAACAAATTCTGAAGTATATTTAATAGAAAATTTTCAAAACTATTATACCGTTCCAAAATAAAAAATAGAAAACTATGTGTACAAGTATATTACATTTGTAAACTTCATGAATTTACTGACATTTTTTAATTGTTATCTTTCATTAAGAATATCACAAAGCACTGGATGATGGGAAAACCACCGCAATGTGCGAAGAAAATGGTGCCAGAAAAAGGTTGAAAATAAATGTTGAGCAAAAATACTTTATTTCACAACACAGATTACATCCCACTGTATAGCAGACAATCGAAAATGCCTTTAGGTTTTCTTGAGGTTGTCAAGATTACTGAAGCTGTTCTACTAGATCATCGACTAGCAAAACAAAAAAAAAAATTTTTTTTTGGCCGACCATAAACCGTGCTATTAACAGAATTTTGAGGTTTTTTTTGCCTTCAGCAAAAGTTAACCTTATCCGGCGAATAGACGCATCTGTTCGTTACTTCCTTTAACAACAAACCGAATATTGCGCCAAAGGCAAACCCATTAATTCCATCAGACAGAACCAACCAACAAACAAACAAACAAACAAACAATCAAACAAGTAAACAAAATAAATAAATAAAAAATAAATGAATAAACAGGCAAGTAAAAATCATATAATTTATATCGGGGTGAAATATAATACATGAACATACAGTTACAAATACGCCAAGAATAAAAAAAAAAAAAAAAAAAAAAAA